AAAATGTTGAGTTGTGAGCCCTAGTGTGTCAGAAGCTGCACGTATCCAGCAGCCCGTTGTGTGGCCTCTTGCCAGAGTCCTGCAGAAGAGAACATTAGGACTGGTGAATTGCCAGCTCTTAGTTGTACGTATCTTTCTCTTACTCCTTGAAATCAGGATATGATTTCAGGATGGTATAAATCAACTGGTCACTTGAGATAATGGCAAAGTAAAACTGTAACAGGTGCCTGGGAGTTGTTATGCACACCACCCCTATCTTTCCTCCTCCTCTGCAAGGTATTCCCCTGCATGGTGGAGACCTCAAGCAAGGAATTATCAGTGTGGCTCCAGCCCCATTCTGCCCTCACCACCCTCAAAAAAAAAAAAAAAAAAAAAAAAAAAAGTTTCAGGTTTCAGCTGTTCTTGCTGCACATGCTCATCTTGGCCTTTTGCTCTTCTTCTCTACTTAATCATTAAAGCCTTTTTTATTATTTTTTGTCATTGTTTTTAACTTGGCAGCAACTTGGTCTGTTTCTCTCTCTTTCTCTTTCTCTCTCCCTTTTTTTTTTTTCTGAGATCAATAGACTTTTCTTCCCCTCCCCCCCCCCTCAAAATTGTCAAAAACGAAGCATGTCTTGCTGTTTTCTGTGTTCGTAGTAGCTGATGGCTGCTTTGTGATAGAGCAGCTGGGATCTTTTATGACAAGCTGAGATGTCTTCCTGACTGGTACCTCCTTCCTAATTTCTACCACACATAAATGCTTTGGATGGGGAGGCTGGGTAATAATGTCTTCCTCCCCTGCTGGCCTTTGTCTCCAATTAACTATCACTCAAAGACATACCTTTCACTGTACTGCTGATCAGAGGATATGAGATGGGATACGGGACTGATGTTTTTTAGCATTTCGGCTCACCCAAGGGTAGATGAGCTCTCTTCCTCTCTGACAGATGAATCCCTGGTATGGGAGGTAGAGGTAAGAGGATTTGAAGGGGGCACAATTTTATTCTTCACTCGCCTCCTTTTAGGAGGGGATAAGAAATGGGTTTGTCTTCCCATTCCCTCACGAAGGCAGCAAAAATTGCCTCCTGGGAAATATCAGTAGTGCAACAGCAGAGGGTACTGCAGGGCCAGCTTGTTTTGGCAGAGCTGTGTGTAGCAGCCCAGCTCCTCTGGACGTTGGTTGCAATTACAGGGAGACAACGCAGCTATGCAAGATCTCAGTTGTGCTGGTGAGTGAAGAGCTGCAGGGCCGGCTGCTGGGCCTGACAGATATTGATGTATGCAAATACCAAGTGAGGAAAATATGCTTTATTTCCTAAAAGCATGTGTCCTACTATGTTGACATGGCACGCCAGATCCCAGAAAGTGAAGCAGTCTGCTAAATGTCAAGAGTTACGACCTTTGTCTGGGAATTTCACAAGACATGCAGAGCATCTCAGCTGCCTGGGGAGGAGATGGGAGATCTGCCTCAGGCGTGTGACTCCTTCAGTTCTTGTTCTCTGAACTGGGCTGACCCGGGGAGGCTGGCTGCGGTACACGTGTAAATGGTGCAGAGAACTGGAATTAAACCAGCATTGCCTGGCAGCCAATGGGACAGCCTTAGAGGAGCAAATTGGGTCCCCACCTGACCAAGGACTTTGCATTTGATAAAAACCTGGTATGTGGAGGTGATGCTTCAGAGAAAGCACAAGTTGCCTGATAGGAGATAACTGCATAGGAGTTTACCCATGAAAGATGTTTTCTCCAAATGGCGAGTCGTTACTAATTTAGTCTCTTTAGCTTCCTTGTGCCCTTTCACAAACCTAGGGACATGTAAGGCACATCCCAAACGASTGGCATGTAAGGAAGAGGCTCTGGGTACTCCTCTGCTCTGCAAGCAACCTCCCAGCTTCAGCAGTAAATGAAGCCTTTAGAAAAAAATAACATTTTGCCTCGGACACAATGAGATGCCTGCAGAAGGGGGAGGTCTTCAGCAATGCCTTGAAGAAGAAAATGTTGCGGCGAACCCCAGAAGGGCCTTTATGGGTTTCAACACGACACTCGGCCCCCCCTGGCTGGTCCAGCAGGGACTTATTCCTCAGAGACAGACCGCAGCACTAGAGGCAGGTGGTGCAGGAGGGGTATTTCCTCCCCTGGCTGGGCTGACAAGGAGATGAGCTCCAGCCTGGTGTTATTTTTGTCCAACTCCCCACCTGCAGCAGCTCGGGAGAACGGCGAGACGAGAAGCTGGCCCAAGGGCCTCGTTGTTGGGGTCCACATCCAGTACTCTCCCCGCAAACCCATCAGAAAGGAGCTCTTGGGAACACGCCGTGGGTCGCTGGGCCCTCGGCGAAGGCTCTGGTGCTGGCCATTTGTGCCGGCTGTAGCCACAGGCCCCTGAGGTTGGGGCACCCTGCTGCCTCGCTGGCTTGCTGTCCCGCCGCAGCGGTGCCCTCGTGAGGCGTTACCAGTCCCCTGAAATGCCTCTGGTGCTGCCGAGCCCGTTCGGCCCATTTCCATGCTGCAGACTCAAAGTCTCAAAGGTCCGAGGGGCTCCTGGTGTACTGGAGATATTAAAACTCACAGTAAATATTAACAAGGGCAGCTGCTCCCTTCTTTCTTTGCCATGGTAACTCAACTTTTCTGCCAGCTCTAGGCCGCTGTCTTCCCCTTGAAGTGAAGTAACCTTGTTGCTAAATGCAGAAGTCTTCCCTGAACCAGGCTGTTTCACCCGGCAGCGTTTCAGCTGCGTTAACTTCAGAGCCTTCTCAGGGCCACCGCAGAGCCATGTCGCCATGAACTGCGTTGCCCCGTGTAGGAGCAACACGGGAATCGGTGGCCGTCTGCTTCAGTTTGGGAGATGGGACAAGCAGCGTAGGATTAGAAGTGAGATTTAAGGGAAGGAAGTCTTGAGAGTCCTCCAGAGGCCCTTGTACAGAGGACAGTGTTAGCAAACAGTGATATTGCTGAAAGGAGGCCATGAAATGGCTAGAAGTGTCTGATACTGAGTTGTAGGGAATAGAGGGAGATGGTTGCTCTCTCRGAGCCTTGTGAACATCCACATGTGTTTTTCTTTGCTCAGTTGCCTTTTTTTCCAAGTACTTTATGGCCTTACAGTACTAGAGTCTCTCTGAGTTAATAAGTAAACATGTTTTGTCATATTTCATTTATTGCCCTTGGAATTATCAGGAGATGGCTGTAGGTTTCTTTGCTGCCAGCCCTGCAACATATGTCGRCTCTGAGGAGAGCCGAGCTGGGCGAAACAAGGAGAGCCCAAGTGAAGGGCTTTGGCTTATGCCCAAGTGTGAGACCATCTGCACGTACCTACCTCTCTCTGGGCAGGATGATCCCTCACCTGAGTCTGCCTCCCGTGGCAGTGTCGCCTCACCCTGGCACCGGTGTTTGATGGAGGTTTTTATTAACTGTGTGGGATATGCGCAAGAACTTTGGTCCTTGAAGGGGAGGAGGAGCCGTATCCTGCGCGCAGAACTGGCGTCAAGATCCCGGCGAGCCATGGCAGTTTGAGACCTGGTGCGTTTTGGACAGGCTTCCTTCGTTACAGGGGCTTTCAGGCTTGAGTTGCAAGGGTGGAAGGGGTCTCTCTATGTTTTTGTACAGTTTCGTGCTGTGGGTGGGGGAGCGTATAGCCTCCATGTTGCAGAGGGCCTTTATGTGATCTGTTCCAACACCTACCTTCTCYCAAAGCTTCCAGTTCTGGCAGAGGGGAAGCCTTCTTTCCCTAAACAGCAAAATGCCTTTTCTTATTTTCCTTGGTGAGGCATTGATTGAGCTTAGAGCTCCTGTCTTTTTTGTTCTTTTCCTTCTATTTTGTTCTTTCTTTTTCTTTGATTTTTTTCCTTTTCATTCTTTTTTTTTTTTTATTATTTCCTTCACTTTTGTGTTTTTTCTTTTCTTCATGTTTTTTTTCCTAGCCTGTAGTCTTGAATCACTTTTCAACAGCGCTGCCTTCCCAGCATGGTTTGGAGGAGGGGAGGCAGTGTAGAGGTGGAATGGAGGCTGTATTTTTTCCTGTTTGGAGAAAAGGTTTGAGCTCTGCTGGGCTCTTGCTGGCCTGGCATGGGTCCGTTATCATGGCACATTATTACCTGCTAGATATATATTTTGGCTGCCTCGCTCCAGACTCAAAGTGCCTTGCATTTGGTTCATGGAAAACAAAAAGCAAAGCGCAATAGCTGGAGACATGTGACTTCAGAACTAGAGTAAAGGGTTTTTTCTTCTTCTTCTTCTTCTTCTTCTTATTATTATTATTATTATTTGGTTTTTTTTTTTTTTTTCTGTTCCCAAAGAGAATCAGGTAGCATTTTCACAGAGTGATTGAGGTTGGAAGGGACCCCTAGAGATCATCTAGTCCAACTCAGCTGCTCAAGCAGGGACACCTATACCACATTGCACAGGCTGCAATTTTCTAGAAGTCAGATTTTTTTTTTTTAGGGTGTGTGTTGTTAATAAAACCTTGGAAAGATCTGGGAAATGTGGATATTTGCTAGCTTCTGGGAGGAGGCTGGCTAATGATCTCAGTCCTTTAAAGTATTATCCATTGGCCGTGTTTTTTGTTATTTCAATTGCTGCCTTTCATACCTAGTCCTGTTCCCTGCCCCTGCTTCCTCTCATCCTCCTTGTTATCTCTTCATCTTCCCCCGTGCCTCTGGTGGTACAAGACCCCAAGAGGCCAATGTTCATTGCCACTGCTGAGCGTGTGTGACTTCACTAGATTGTGAATTCCTACTTTTCTGCATTTTCCTTCGTTCTACCTTGTCACCAGTGCCTTTTTCCTCTTTGTGAAGTTAAAAGACTGTATCTGATCTGGAAGTGGTCCAACTTGCTGTAAGCTAGACAGTACACAGGGCCTGTTGAAGATACTAGAGGGTGGGGAAGGGTTTTTTTGGAGTCAGGTCTGAAGGAAGGCCTCCTGCACTTGACCTAGGCTTGTGGCATTCCCAACCTGTCTTCCTACCGGTGATAACTTTTTGCACCCCAGTAGTTGTTGAATATGACTTTTCTTTTCATGGCTTTCCCACAGGATGAAGATGAGACGCCATAAGCTCTTTCTGACTCTCTGCATGGCTGGTCTTTGCCTCATCTCCTTCTTGCACTTCCTCAAGGCYCTTTCCTATGTCACCTTCCCCCGGGAGCTAGCATCACTTAGTCCCAACCTCGTCTCCAGCTTCTTTTGGAACAATGCACCCGTCACACCTCAGGTTAGCCCTGAGCCAGGGGGTGCGGAGCTCTTCCGCACGCCTCTGTATTCCCACTCACCCTTGCTCCAGCCGCTGTCTCCCAGCAGAGCCAGTGAAGAACTGCACAGAGTTGAGTTTGTGCTGCCAGAAGACACAACAGAGTATTTTGTCCGTACCAAAGCTGGTGGCGTTTGCTTTAAACCAGGCACCAAGGTGTTGGAGAAGCCTCCTGTGGGAGGGCGGCCTGAGGAGCGAGTGGATGGTGCCGCCTCAGGGCGGCCCGCTCGCAAGCTGCTAAGTGCCGGTGGCACCAAGCGACGCAAGTGGGTAGAGTGTGTCTGCTTGCCAGGCTGGCATGGCCCGAGCTGTGGGGTCCCCACTGTAGTGCAGTACTCCAACCTGCCCACCAAGGACCGCCTCGTGCCACGGGAGATCCCTCGGCGGGTCATCAATGCTATCAACGTCAACCATGAGTTTGACCTGCTGGACGTCCGCTTCCATGAGCTGGGAGATGTGGTGGACGCCTTTGTGGTGTGCGAGTCAAACTTCACGGCCTACGGCGAGCCGCGGCCCCTCAAGTTCCGCGAGATGCTCCTCAATGGCTCCTTCGACTACATCCGCCACAAGGTACTCTATGTCTTCCTGGACCATTTTCCCCCCGGCGGCCGCCAAGATGGCTGGATTGCTGATGACTACCTGCGCACCTTTCTCACTCGAGATGGCATCTCTCGCCTCCGCAATCTGCGCCCGGATGATGTCTTCATCATCGATGATGCTGATGAGATCCCAGCCCGGGATGGGGTGCTCTTCCTCAAACTCTACGATGGCTGGACAGAGCCTTTCGCCTTTCAYATGCGGAAGTCACTCTACGGCTTCTTCTGGAAGCAACCAGGCACCTTGGAGGTGGTCTCGGGCTGCACTATGGGGATGCTCCAGGCTGTCTACGCCACGGATGGCATCCGTCTACGGCGCCGTGAGTATTACACCATGCCTGGTTTCCGGCAGTATGAAAACAGCACAGGACATATCCTGGTGCAGTGGTCACTGGGAAGCCCCCTCCACTTTGCCGGCTGGCACTGCTCCTGGTGTTTCACGCCGGAGGGGATCTACTTTAAACTGGTATCAGCCCAGAACGGGGACTTCCCCCGCTGGGGTGACTATGAGGATAAACGAGACCTCAATTACATTCGGGAGCTGATCCGGACTGGCGGCTGGTTTGATGGCACTACGCAGGAGTATCCGCCTGCCGACCCCAAGGAGCAGATGTACGCTCCCAAGTACCTGCTGAAGAACTACCAGCGGTTCCACTACTTGTTGGAGAATCCCTACCGAAGAGCAGAAGGGGCTGGGTGACGCCACCGGGGTTTGCATAGGAAATTGGAACTTCATGACAAAGGGAAAGTGCCGAGTGTTTTGTCAGTTCCTTTCTTTTTTTTT